TACTGTGATGTGTGTTTTCACAACTGTAGACACAAATACAGAGCGAGACTCCTTGTTACCTGTCATGTGAGCAAAAGGACACTGAAATGAGGCCAAGGCTTGTCCACATTTCTAGCTCTAGAGAGACTAAGGGCTTGTTCCAATTTGTTGAAAGGTGAATTAAGAAGAGGTGGCTGGGGCATGGAGTGACAACTCAGTGGTTAAGAGCGCTTGCTGCTCTTTCGCAGAAGACCCAGAGTTCCCAGCACCCACAGTGTAGCTAACAACTGTTCATAATCCTGGTTCTAGGGAATCTATCTGACCCTGTCTTAGTTAAGGCTACTATTGCTACTATGAAACACAATGACCAAAAGCAACCCAAAGGCAGCTTGGGAAGGAAAGGGTTTACGTCATTCACAGTTTCATATAACAATTCATCATCAAAAGCAGTAAGGGCAGGAACTCAAGTGGAGCAGGAACCCGGAGGCAGGAGCTGATGCAGAGGCAATGGGGAAGTGCTGCTTACATGCTTGCTCCTTAAGGCTTGCTCAGCCTGCTCTCTTACAGAACTCAGGACCACCAGCCCAGGGATGGCACCACCCACACTGTGCTGGGCCTTCCCCATCAGGTAAGAAAATGCCCTACAGGCTTGCTTACTACCCAGTCTTAGGGAGGCCTTTTCTCAGTGAGGCTCCCTCCTCTCTGATGACTCTAGTTTCTGTCCAGTTGACATAAACCTAACCATCATGGACTCTTTCTTCCCACGTCCTCAGGCACCAGGCGTAAATGAAGTGTATACACATACACACAGGGGAAATGCTCAACTACATAAAATAAAACAAATATGTCTTTTTAAAAAGAAGAGGTATTTGACATAGATGACTACAGACTTCTTGCTAGTTTTCTTGCCTTTTTTCCCTCTCTTCTAAACATCTTGAAGTTGCTTTGCATTGTGGCTACCTAGAGTTCTATGGATGTCTAGTTTATTAAATGAGTTTGTAGTTATAAACTTCTCAGAACAGAACAGAGAGCACAAAGGTGTCTGTCAAAGGAATCTAGATATGCAGGCCTTGCTGTCTCCTCGAATGGTTGCCCTCGGGACCAGGCAGCACTGCAGATCATTCTGCCTCTACAAATGCCTTTTGCTCTGTGGTGTTGATGTCCTCCTGTCTCCCTACCTGACTGTCCACCTGTTTCTCTGCCTTCTCATCCACAGGTAGCTTTCTCCTCTTCCCACTGTTTAGACACTTATGCTCCTCAGGCCACATCTCAGACAGTCTCCTTCCTGCCCCTATACCTTACCACAATAACACTTTGCAGTTAGTTTATGCTTGGACCTATTTGACTGCAGTCACTACAGGGAAAGGAGATAATTAGGTCTCCTCAGCCTGGCAGTTAGTAAGAGAAAAATTGAAGCTCTTTTCAATAACAGTTCTTCCATCTATTTGATACCGAGAATGCTAGCTCAACTGGATTGTTTTCCTTTTTCTTTCCTCAAATGAGGTTTTGCATCCATAGGGACAGCTATAGTCATAGTGGCCTAAAAAGGAGGTGGGTGCCTTACTAATATGGCTCTCTCGTGTTCTTCTTTCTTGAGACTCCATTTTTGCCCACAGTGTCTGCTTTCCCATGGGAAAGAACATCAAGATTTTTTTCTGCTAACACAAGCCACTTTCATTTTATTGCATAGTGTATGTGTGTGTGTGTGTGTGTGTGTGTGTGTGTGTGTATGTGCTCGTGTGTTCGGGAGGCATTCCAGAGACTGGGACTACCTAGGCTACCGCCTGCTCACCAGCATCTTGGATGGAGCTAGAGGCCATTATTAACCAGGCACAAGTGCTGAGGTGAGGGTTATCCAAGCAAACATGCTGGAGAACTTGCCCCAAGGAGCTCCCAGTGCAGGTGTGTGGCAGAATATTTACACCAAAAAGGCGGGTTCAGCCTAGGGAAAGAAGAAATTAAAAAAAAAATTAGTGGGGCTGGTCACAGGGAAGTGTTTGGAATAGTAAGTATTACTATATTAAATACTTAAAAAAAAAATCAAGTTCCCAAATGTTGTGCTGACGCGGGTGGGGACAGGATAAATTGTCATTACCTACTGCCTACCATGTATCAGGCAATGTGTAGCTGCTAGAGATGATAAACAAGACCCGTGTGGTTTTTGCCCTTACTGAGCTTACAGACAGAAACACACTGCCCAATATGGTAGCCACTAGCCACATGTGCCCATTAAAATTAATGTTTAGTTCTTCAGTTACACGAGCTACATTTCTTCATGTGTTCAAGGGCCACAAGCGGATGAAGCCTGGCAGCACCGCAGAAAGTTCTGTTGACCGGCATGGAAACAGGCACAGGAAACCATAAGCATATCTATGTGGGAAAGGCGGGCTAGAAGCTGGTGGGTACAGGGAAGCGTACTGTTAATACCACTTTTTTTATTTATAATCAAGATGTACAAACCAAGGCTCAGTGAGGTCAGGCAAGGAGACCAAGTTCACACACCTGCTAAGTGGGAGAGCTGGGATTTGAACTCAGACTTGTCTTCATCACATTTTATTTGGGTGGAGGGATTGAGCCAACCCACAGGTAGGAATTATTTAAAGAGAGAAGGCATCACTTGTGGGAAAATGAAATTTTGGGCAAAGGCATGGATGAGCAAGGCTGGCAGAGGACCCCAGGTAAACCAGTCTGGCTGGCGAGGCAGTGATTTGCTGAAATCATGTCCTTGGAGAGGTAAGTTGGAACCTGTCTGTCTTGACTAAAAGCCAAGAAACTAAGAAACTTACATGAAGTTGAGTCTTTATAGGATAGAAGCAGGAGCATGGAATGGCCAGAACTATGTGCTATGGGAGAGCAGCAGTGGTTAGCAGCAACTGGTCATGAACAAATCTAAGGAGACCAGTTAAGGATTACAAGGAGATAGAAAGAAAGGGATGAAGGAAGGGTGTGAAGCCAGACCAGCATGGCGGCCTGGAGACCTGAAGGTTACAGTTCAATACTTTGTATCACTGGACTGCATCCTTTTACTACTGTGGGCTTCTTTTCTCCAACTGCAAAAAGCCATGGCAGGCCCACATGATCTCCGAGCTTCCCCTTACTAATGGTAGTCTAAGAGTCTACAGACAGGAATGACATTAGGCGAAGGGAAGCACTAGAGTACTCAGTGGTAAATACTGAGGCAAAGAAGATGGGCCGTCAAGGACCCTTACAAGATGAAGAGAAAATTATTTCCTAGCAACAAAGCCGGCTAAGTGCGAGCAGGAGCTAGCTTGTCTTTCATTTTGGGAGGAGAATGAGCCCGGGATACAGAGACTGGAAGGATACTGGGAAAATAAAGGCCTTTAGAATAAAAGAAAATAATGGGGCTTGTTTTAAAGAAAGTTGTGTAGAGTTAGAGGCCATGATTTTACATCCCCACCCCTCAAGATAGCTTTTAAACTGTTGTTGACCTATGATCCACAGGTAGGAAATACAATTTACATCAGGTGTATTCACACCTGAAAATAAAGGGCTTTGAGACAGCACTGCCCTTTCTAAAGGCAATGGGCTCTAATATTTCTCTGTTGAATTCTAATATTTTTGGATTTTCAAGAGCGTGTTGCCACCCACTTAATTTATTTTGCGGTCTATTCGTGTATCAGGACTCAACAAGTTTTCCTAAGTTGGAGGCAAAGGCAGGGCGTCCTGTGCAGACATTCAGAAGCGAGCTGGAGAGGCAAACCAGGGCAGGGATCCAGGCTGGGAGAATTTAAAGAACGTTTTGCTCGGGCCGGCCCCCAAAGTGAGGAGAGAAAAAAGCAAACCCGGGGAACCGCTAGGTGGGAGCCTCCCACCCGGATGACGAAGAGGACTCTTCAAACATCGGGGTCAGGCTTCCATCCCGGTGTTGTTTTCCCCGGGCGTGCGGGGAGCTCCGGGGGCATCCTCCCGAGAGGACTACGCGCCCACTCCCTCCATTCATTCCCCTCGAGCGCCCGCTAGAGCGGGGCCCGCACGCGCTGAGACCGAGACACTTTGCCCCGCGGCGGGACCGCTGTCGGCGGCAGCGGCTCGCGCTCCCCGGCCCGGCCGGCGCGCGCACAGCCACGCGCGCGCTCCCAAGCACGCGCGCACAAAGTTGTGGCCGCCCCCACCGCGGAGCTCCGGTCGGCGGCCGCGGGCCCGGCGCAGCGCACTCCCGCACCGCCCGGCTCGCCCGGCCCGCTCGGCTCCCCTCGGGCGGCGCTCGGCCCCCGCCGCCGCCCGGCTCTGCCCTTCGGCTCGGCCTTCCCCGCCTCGCATCCGTGCCATCGGCGCTCGATTGCGCGCGGACTCCCTGGGGCTCTTCCCGGCTCGTTCGCTCGCGCCTGCCCGCCCGCCCGCTCGCGCCCGGCCGCGCCGCCCCGCCCCCGCCCCCCCCCCCTGCTCCTCCCGGGTAACTTTTGCCGGCGCCCCCGCCTCACAGCCATGCGGAGCTGAGCTCCGGCCCGGCCCTGGCCGCCGCAGCCCGCCCCGGCTCCCGCCCTCGCGGACCCGCCCGGCCCCTGGCCTCGGCGCCCTAGCCGCCCCGGGCCGGCCGAGCCCCCCGCGCAGGGCCCGGGCCGCGGCTACGGCGGCGGC